GCATCCCAAGTCCAAAAAGAGTTGAGAGTTTCGGTACCCTATGATCTAAATTCTTGCACTAGCTTGACAGAAGTGCCTTTCGAGTAAACCTTACACTGGCAATTTTGACTGTAAAACTTTACACTTAATCTTTAACAGTATTGTTCGGTTCTCTTTCGGAATACGGGAATAAAGTGCTTCGTCACTCCCTTCAAAAGGTTGTTAATATGCTGGAACGTATTCAAAGGCGAGGCACGAAATCACTTGAGGGAGTGAAATTTAAACCTTATGTAGAGAGCCTAAAATCAATGAATCTATGCTTAGTAGAGTATTGCGATGTCTGTGAACGTCAGCCGAAGAAACTTCTCTCGTACATAAGTTGCAGGACAAGGACTTACAATTTGTATCCTGAAATTGATTATGGGAGGGGTGGATCTCAAATAGTAGGAGATCAGGACAAAGCAGTTTTGACTTATGAGCCTCTCACAAATGAAGAACGAGACTCAAATACAAAGCAACATAATCGTCATATCACTGTGAGCCTCGTTTTCGACGATGTACTTGAGGATGCCTTATGTATTCGGAGTTTGACAACGCTTTAACCAGTAACACATTCTAATATGGATCGTACCCACCAAGTGAAATCGAAAGACAGGAGCGAGGAGGTTCAGAGATATATTTGGTAGGCTATCAATGTATCGTGAATTGACTGATGTAATCTGGCTAGCGAATGCTGTGAATGTTGAGCACGGCGTCCCCATTCGTGATCTGGTGCGGATGCATGACAGAGCGCCTTCAGCTAGGTTAGTCCATTAAAACTAATTTGGTCAGCATCCAATGTCCAAAACTTAGAGAGCTATTACTTTTGAGGATTTATTTACCGCTACATACTAAAAGCTCTTATTACTTTAGACACAAAAACATCAACAGGATAGGATGAACTAAAAAACGTATTGCTGCCCAGTTGGCTACGACATTCAGTATGTCACCAAGTCAAGGTTAGTCACCTACAGGTTGGGAAGATGTGATTGTCACTCCAGTGCCAAAAACTAGTTAAGCGACCAATCTCTCCATAACAAGAGAGCAGCGGACTGAAGGATGAGACCATCATTTACAGATGATATTTAAGCGATGCAAAAGTGGCCTTGAGAATCCTCAACTATTTACAAAGGGCTAGATGAGGGTTATAAACCTGTGTGAAGAATAATGACGATGATTTACAGTTCATGATTAGGGTTAGGAATCGGATTTAGGGTTTTTATCACGAACTGACGTCGTCTAAAATGTTAAAACGCTCTTCATCCAAATGGATAAATGAATTTTGAGCCAAAACTTGGGACCTGTTTTCTTAAATCTGGTTCGTTCCTTCGTAAATTATGGTATCACCGGCGGAGGCTCTAGATAATGGGACATCAGTCGATGTTGTCAACATAGATTTCAGCAAAGCATTTAATAATATGCCGATAAATTACCGGAAAACTGGATGTTGGCTCACATCACACCAATTTTCAAAGGAGGTCGACGCAATGAACCTTCAAGTTATCGGCCGGTGGCTCTTCTGTCATTACCTTCAAAACTCATGGAGTTCCTGATATGCGACGGTTTAAAAGACTGTCTACTGTCCCTAAATTTCTTCTCACCCCAACAGCATGGTTTCAGGAAGGGTTACTCTTGTATAACCAACGTGCTGACTGCGGTGGACAGATGGACAAGCATCCTCGATCGCAAGGGAAAGGTTAATGTCATTTACCTTGATTTCTCAAAAGGTTAACCAATTGTGTCTTATAAATAAGCCCAAACTACTAGGTATCAAACCACCTCTTATCGATTGGCTTACTTCATACCTAAAAAATCGACACTTTAAGGTTAGGGCTAATTTCACTTTATCTCAGGCTATGGAATGTTCTAGTGGGGTCCCCCAGGGCTCAGTACTACGGCCTCTTCTCTTCTTGATCTACACAAACGATCTTCCTCAACAGGTAACGCCAGACTTATTACTTTTTGCCGACGACTTGAAACTTTGGAGAGAGATACGCAACCAAGACGATATACAGGCACTTCAGGAGGATCTGACTGGACCTCAAAGTTGGGCAGACGATAGCGGACTTACCTTTAACACTTTAAAGTGTAAAGTAGTCCATCTGCGACATGTCGCAAACTACAGTTACAACTTAGGAAACTCCTCTCTAGTAGTATCCCAAGTCGAAAAAGATTTAGGAGTCCTGGTGCCCCAAGATTTGAAGTCTTACGTTAACTGTGACAAAAATGCCTTCCGAGCAAACCTTGCACTGGTAACGTTGAAGCGCATTTTTGGACAGTTTGACGGACGAACTTTCAATACAATCTTCAATAGTTTCATCTGTCCCCATTTAGAGTACGGAAACATAGTACTCCCCCCTCACTCCAAAAGGACAAGGTCACTTTGGAGCGTATCCAACGGCGAGCCACGAAATCAGTTCGGGGACTCATATCTAAACCTTACGATGAACGCCTCTATTCACTAGACCTTTACCCATTAGAGTATAGACGTCTTAGAGGTGATTTATTAATGGCTTATAGTATTCTTAACACTTCTGGACATCCTCTTAAGCACCTACTTAAGCTTAGTTCGAATAAACCTGAGGGGTGACACCCAGAAACTGAAAACACAACTTAGCAAGACGGAATGTAGACACAACTTCTACTCCTTAAGAGTTGTCAAAAGCTGGAATTCGCTGCCGGCCGAGCTAGTCCAAGCGACTTCCCAGGAGTCCTTCAAGAGGCAACTTGACCTATTCTTAAGGATCAAGGACAGCATCACACTATGATTTACCAATTTCTTTTCCTCTTTTATTGTTAACATACCTAGGTTCCTGCCTGGAGGATTTGGTGATCCTCTGCTACTAGACACGGAAGCCTGTTAAGCGAAAGCTTCTTCTATACCGTCCACAACCATTTGAACCACTTAAATAGACTACTCTTGAAGTTAGAGAATCTGAGAACTGCCGAATCCCTAATGAGGATTTCGTAGCAGGTCGTAGACAGAAAGTTAGAATAAATCTCGAATGCTCCTCATGGAAACCAGTATTTTTGGGAGTACCGCTAGACTCTGTCCTGGGTCGTTGATTTTTCGTAATATATGTAAATAAACTCCTAAGTATAGCTGAATCCCCGATACTAATATATATGTTGATGTAAAATATTGGCCAGAAATATCAAATGTAAATGCACGTGCACTTCGAACGAACTTAGTTCTTCTCATTAACTGGTCCAAAAAGTGCCTGAAAACTATGAGAGCAACCAGGTGTATCTACACACACTTTAAAGATACAATGTTTAGTAGGTACAGCATAATAGAAAAGTCAGTGCCTATAGCTCGATTTCACAAAGATCTTCGTGCGACAGTCAGCCATGATATTAAGATCACGGCCCACTGCTGAAAGGACACACCTAAGGGGTTTAAAGCTCAATGGGCTCTAAAATTGACATTTACCATTTTAGATAGTAATATGATCAACATAATACACAATACCTTAGGAAGATCCCAAATTGTGAACAAAGTTTATGCTGCAATAACCTGTTTAAAAGGTGCCTTGGATTTCTTGTAAAAATTACAAAAGGCAGCTACCCAAGCAAATTAAGAAATCTACGGTTTACCACACAAAGAGTGACGTCAAAAGCTGGACCTATTTATCCCATTCTACTGCAGATTAGGTTATCTGAATTTGGTGTATAAAATACTAAAAAACGATTTCGGACCTAATATATCCTCTCTTTTTCTTCCTACCAGATCAGGACATCTCGGAAGGCATAGCAGGTGAGTCAACATGTCAATAAAAAAGGTACGTCTATCTTTTTAATTGACTCATCCAAGAGACGATTATGTACTCTCAGAAGATTGCTAGAAAAAAACCAACACAGGCCGAAAGTCTTCTGTGCTCAAAATACAAGCCTAAAATCTAAATCTGTCCAAAAAGTGACCTTCCAGTGACTTACAGTATCCTTCACAATCCTGACCACTCCTTAAACTCAGTCCCGACACAAAACGTATAAGTAACACCTTGAAATTATAGACACGATGTAGCATAATTGACAGTTCAATTTCTGGAATCCTCTGCCAGCAGAGGTAATTATAGTGACCCTCCACGATTCATGACAGATTGACAGCATAGTTTATAAATATTTCCCATTTCACCGTCTGATATACCTAAGTTCCTAAATGGAAGTAAAAATAATCCACTGTCAGTAGATACGTAGCGAAAGTTTAATCTTTTCCTACCATTACAATTTGAAACACTTTGAATCTCGAATGGAAGGAATGGCGTTCTGCTGATATCCATTAAAAATTTTATTTTACAAAAGCAATCCGAAAAGGATCTACAATGGTCAAATGGTTTAAAAACAATCCTTGATCCTCTCCTCGTCATACTTTATGTAAATGAATTTTCAACTGTAACAATAAGCCGCTCTACTCTTCGCTGATTACATAAAGATTTGGAGACTCATACATAGGAGGTTAGAAAGCATAGTGGCATGGATGAGTGGATGATCATGAGGTTTAAATTCTAATAACAGTGTGGTGATGAAATCAAATTACTATGATGATTCGTATCACCACACGATACTTAAAGGTGTGTTACCCAAAAGTCTCTCTAGCCGATAATATCAAAACTGACTTAGGCACCTCAAGTTATTACTATTATTTTAGTGCAGATTACAAGAAACCTAATGTTGACTTATCGTATATTGAACGATGACCTTGGCAGTAATATGTCTCATCTATTCTTTCTTTCTAGGATTGATCGTTTGAGAGAACACTCTAGAAAGGTTCAAAAACCGTGATCAAATCATCTACGTCTGGAGTCCCGTCTCTCGCTTCGAGTAGTGAATTATCGGAATTCTCTACCAGAACACGTTGATCGACACCTTCCGTTGATATATTCAAAACGATATCGGACATCCACAGTGTTAATACAGGTCTATGGATATCCCTTCGTTATAACTGTAGTCTGATGAAAGCAATGGCCTTGAACTGAAGCGCAATTCTTGAAAATTTACGTTGTGGCAAAATGGAAAAGTAAGGTTTTCGAGTACAGTATGATGAACTTTGTAAATATAAGCCATATAGCCACAGTATCATAGTACTCACTAGTATTTGGATGGTATTTCACACAGAATTCACATCGAAATTAAGCTAATTTTAGTAGTATGTTCAAATTAATTGACTTTGAGACCGACCTTGAAGCTTTCTTTTCGTTGGAGAGCAAATAGATGAGCAGGATTAAGAATGTATTTACTCAAAGTAAAAATAGGTGGGTGTTTGTCGCATTTTTGTGGAACGTATCGGAATTTGAGGCACTTCTCATACATTTAAAATACAGTTGTACTTTCTCGAGATATGGTTTTAAACTACTGTTTGTTATTTCGTATTGAAACAGCTTTTTCAATCATTGATAACTTGATTTAAAGGTCAATGGCCATCTGAAATTCAGTTGATCTTTTGGCTATAAGATGTTTTCTACATGTTTCTGTAATGTGACCCCACTCTAGATAAATTAACTCACATAGCTCCTGTAAAACAAAGTTGTGCGTCGTTGAGGGTGCTCATACCTAAGAGCTCAGCGAAATATGATGACTTAGTCTGCAAACTCAAAAACAGGTTTGAAGTCTGTCCAGCTCTCAAAGCATCATTTTGCTCTAGATACTAAAAGTCACGATTTTAGAGAGTTAAATTGATTTGTCTGTATTCCAACCCCTGAACTGCAATAGACACATACATTATGTTATTTAGTAATCCTAGCCGACTTTCTTTAAAAACCTTTGCACTAAGACCATTTCAATCTACCAATGTTTGTTAGATTTAAGTTCTAGTATTTTAGCTTCAGTGAGATCTAAAAATTTAATGCTGATTTATTGCACAGGTCTTATACAAAATTCTCCATTTATAAACCTAAATAAAAAACAAATATCGTGGCAGGACAACGTAAATTGACTTATTTTGCGAATTCTTCTCAGCTGCTTACGACCTAAAACCATAGTATTAATCAGTAAAACGAAACCCGTGTACGAAATACATATGGGAAACGTCTTGGATGAATTGAGCTAACATGTGGAGATAAAGTAATCACAAGAGATAAAAAATATAAGGGTTAACACTGATCAACCGTTCTCCTATTCATAAGTTAGATGTGTGAATATACTTGAAGAGGATGGAAAACATTTTTCTAAAACAGTATTAGAGAGAACGATCATTTGTAATAACTTCATGACACCTTACAGTTATGAACTCAAAATTATCTCTTTGTGTTACATCAGACAAAATATTAAAGTTGAATTAATCCATGTTATGAATTCGAAATCGAAGTCTAAGGTGGACTATGTAATATTTGCCCAAAAACATCACTGGTCAAGCCAGCACTTATAGCAAACTGTTATCGGTGTTGATTTCTTCACGTGATATTCTCCAGGGTGTTCCGCTTTACCCATTTCTATCCTTATTTATATGTTTGACTTTGTCATATAAATGCTTCTAGAGATAGCACTTTAATTTGAATTTTCAGGAGATTCATTTGTTGACTTGGGAGACGCGGATAATGTAGCTGTGTTTGATGAAAAAGCCGACATATCGCAATCTTCTGACCACCTTAAGCAACATTACAAGCACTTTTGGGATCCAATTCTCTCTTTCAGCATCGGTTATCTCTGTTCTACTTTATTCACGTGAAACACCCATCAAAAATAGAAAATATCTGTAAATTACTAGTATTCGATCATCGGAGTACTCGAAGCCTAATTCGTGTACTTCTGATCATCGAGTAAGCAATCCTTAAGTAAGGAATATTGTGCTAGTTAAGGATGACTAATCGATTGATGAGGTTGTAAATCTTCATCAACTGTGGTCTTTCAGACATCTGTTACCTATGCCGAACCAACACCTACCGCGGACTATGTTGTCCGATGCAGGAGTATGCCGGAACAATGCTACGCTCAGCCAAACCAAAATATGGCATCAGTCCATGAAGTCATTGACTATTCGACTTAACCATGTTGATAGGTACAGACTACCTGGTTAGTAATCATTAGTTAGAGAGTTTGAACGACATGACTTGGATTTATTTGGAATGGTGTAGGTGCACACATTCTTTGTCTTCCCACAAATTTTGAGCTTCTGAATTTCTCATAACCTTTTGTTTTCATTTTACCAATTTAACTTTTTTTTCTAAATCACATATTCGAGGCGTAATTTCTTCCTGTTACCACTTGTTTTTATTCATTTATTTGAACACAAGTATTGGTACAAAAGGGGCACTGAATACATATACACCGCTGATACTGTTACTGTACTGAACGAGATCACAAGTGAGAACAATCGTATGTATTTGAACGCAAAATTACAGAACATCTTAGTGAAATCTGAGACTCATACACTAAATGTTTCATTTGCAAACTGTCAATCAATTGTCTCAAACTTGACTGTCCTTTCTGCAAAATATCAATTAGTCGTCTCACACTCTATTGTTCTTTTGTTTCTACACCAATCATTCTCTGTTCTCGTTCTTCGATCTTCTTAGCTTTCTGCCCCCAGGCATTTCACTTTCGATTGATGATACATACTAATATTTGTGGACATCAGTAGCACACACCGCATTACTACCTCCACCATTCTGAGATTTGGCCTGATAATTTCATCTCTCTGTGGTGATGAGATATGGGGTTTTCAACTGATGCACATACATACTAAGCTGTACATTGCGACTGACTGAATAAAGCTCAGAAGTAAAAGACTGAGATACTGGCAATTATAATTAAGGTTATGGAAAATCTTACATTTAGCATTAGTGACCTGTTTTTCATGTGATTACTACGTAGACATTGTCCTTAGTTCGAATTGCATAGCAAGTACTTTTGGACTGCATTCTGGTTATTATTCACTTCTGTTCTGTCTGCACAAATTAAACGAAAAGAACTTTGAAGGAGAGATGAACTCCATATTCTCTTTCTTGGTCTCAACGCTTTCACAAACTTCAGCTATTAAATGACGACCTAAAATTAACCACGGTTGCGTTTATCATGTATATTTTTCACTAAATCTCAAGTTTTTTGCCATTCCATACTTTTATTCTTCGTTTTCATCTACCCCCGAATGCCCTGGTATGGCCGAGAGTGGGGCGGGTTCGCCCTCCCTTTCGAAATGCTCTCACACGGCCACGCGTATACAGCCTCTGCCAGGGAAGTCCTACTCACTGCCTTCTCGTGGCGGGGGTGTTGTTTACGAAAATGAGAGGACGAAAAGCGAATGTCCGGCGCTTTAACCGGATCCCAAATCAATGGTGCACATGGGCTCCAGTATCCTGCAGGAACAAATGGCGTATGAACCAATCGCTGGTCACCGGCTACCATGGGAATGCATCTCCTCACGATGTTCCACTGCCTTGTGGATCAGACTTTTAGGTCAAAGGCTAGGGGTTTTGCCCCCTGAGAAAACCACCTGCTTCGGTCTGGGCACCCGGGCAGTATTACAGCACACACACAAATATGGTGTGGCGCATATATATTTGGTGCCCTCTTGTACCGATATTTATGTGTTGAAATAATAATAACTCGTTTGAACCATATTTCCCGTGTTCTACTTTTTATCTCAGTTGATAATATGTATCAATCAGTCAGTCAGCTATAATGTAGGAACAGGCACATATATGCATCGGTTCAAGTTGCCATACCTCACTAGCACAACAAGATAAACACTGAATTCACAGAAGCAGTTACTTCAATAGTAGTAATATGTAAAAGAAAAGGATTGCATATAAGGATACGATACAGTGAGAAAGAATTAGTTTGTAGAAAGAAAGGTATAAAGTAATTTTAATCTCACGGTTTAAGGGAAAACAAAGAGTGTATATACCTAAACCATTGTGATCGATTCTGAGCCTTGTCACGCGGACCCCAACCAAGTAGTTCGCATCTACCAACATGGCTCATACCAGAAGTCAGTGGTTTCATGCACTGAAGCCAATTTTTGGTTTGGCCGCCCCTAACTTTCTTCAAACTGTCTCCAGCACTAGTCAGCACTGCGCGTCGTGGTAATCGGTGTTCAGGCATATGTAACACGTGGCCCAACCATCCCAGTCGATAAAGATTTATAACCTCACCAACTGATTTATCATCATCATTCCCTAATACCCTGCGAGCTATATTTCTAAGTTATCTGTAATCAAATGCTGGTAGCATATGAATGCCTTCTACTCTTAATGGCCACGTCTCGCCGCTGTAAAGTAGAACAGAGCGAACTGCTGTGCAGCATACTCGTCTCTTAATTGATAGATGGGTATCTCGCCCTCACCATAGGTGACGTAAGTTAGCAGAAGCCAAACGAGCTTTCTGAATCCGTACTGAAATTTCGTCGGAAACCAACCCATTAGGGCCGATCAAGCTTCCAAGATAAGTGAAGTTGTCAACGCGTTCGACTACTTCACTCCCTATCCTTAGTTCAGGTGTTGACGCAGACCAGTCCTGAAGCAACAACTTGCATTTAGAGGTGGAGAAACACATCCCAAACATCCTGCAATTGTTGCTCACTGCTACTAAAAAAGACTGCATTTTATCAGCGTCTTCATCAAACAGGATATACCATCTACGTATTCTAAGTCGATAAGTGGACCTCCTGGTAAGAGATCAATTCTTGAAAATTCAGTCGACGAGAACGTTATTTCCATCAGTAGCTCTATGATAAAATTGACCGAAAAATGACGATAGTGGACAGCCTTGACGGACACCACTTGAGGTTGCGAAATCAGATGACAGTTCTCCAGAAGCTCTGATACGACTAGTAGTGTTCAAGTGACTAGCCTTCACAAGGTCTATGTAGTCCTAAGGTACACCTTTAAATGACAGACACTGCCACATAACCTCTCGGTCTACAGAGTCAAATGCTTCTGTTAAGTCAAGAAAGACCATCATTGTCGGACATCGAGAAGCATATCTGTGTTCTTAGATCTGACGAATGGTGAATTTTTGGTCGATGCAGCCACGACCAGGTCTAAAACCAGCCTATTTTTTTCGCATTTGCAGTTCACGTGTCTTTGTTAGACGTCCAATAATTACTGAGGCGATTATTTTAGACTCGATATTGGTCAAACTATTTCCCCTATGGTCATCAAATGATAATTTTGATCCTTTCTTATGTATTGTGGCGATCCGTTATTTAGGCCAGTCAGATGGGATTACGTCAAGTTCCCGGATTTTAGCTAAAGAACTGGTCAACGTAATCGCTAAAACTCGACCACCATATTTAAAGACCTCTGGAGCCAATTCATGGGAACCAGCTGCTCTTCCTCGTTTCAGATTAGCTATAGCCTTTTGAAGTTCACTTAGAGTCGGCGGGCGTTGATATTGTGTATATTTATATTTCCACCTATTTGGGGTGTGGCAAATTGAGCCAAAACTCATCCAGTCAGATTATGCGTTGATTATAATATTTAACCGTTTTAAGCTTCCAGATATGACCGTACTTTTGCAGAGTCGACTTTTGGCGTCTAGTTCTTATGTTTGATAAACCGTTTCGTAACCGCAACTTATATGAAAATAAAAATTCAATCCAGTTTATCTCATGAAGTTATTAATACACAACTAACCATTTAATATTTGACCTTGCTTACCTTAATTTTATCTGATTCTAATAGTTTTGTTTTTGTTTTCAGAACTTCCGATGCAGCCGATGATATTATGAAATCTGATAAACTTGACCTCATGAATTATCCTCACATTATTGACGAATTAGCCGAATGGTCCATTAATTTGGATTCCAAGCTGTCGGCAGATAATAGTTATTCTGTTGCAGTAGATTTGTTACGTTGCCGAAATATTTCATTATCAAGTGTACATCCCTCCTCACTCAATCTGTCTTCGGATGACAAGTTACCAGCTAGTAAAGAGTCAGATTCATCCTCACTTTCCAAGATAAATTACCTTTTGTATAACACCTGGAGAAAATTGTCGGATGTACTGACTTTTTGGTTCCCACCTTCCCAAGTTTTAGTCACTTACGCTCATTTACGCGAAAATAATTGCCCTTGGCAATTAGGTTATCTTTCATCTGAGTCCGTTCAAGGTCAGGCTTTGTGTCTTGTAGCCACTCATTGGCTAGAGTTAATGGAATTGCCAAATAGACTTCAAAGTTCTAATTCCTCGTCATTAAACGATTTGAAACAATCAAATGATATCACCCCATTTGAACTTATTCAATCACCTAACATAAGCTCTACATATGTTGAGTCAGATGTCAATCAGATTGTTACAAATCACTCTACCAGGATAACAAGAAAGTGGTATCTAAGTTACGTGGACCCATGTCCACAGTGGCGCATAGTTACTTTTTTATCGTATAAACCTAGTGAAACATTTGAGTACGATTTATCAGCCAATGGCTCAAATTCAACTTTGGATAATCTGTATTATATAACCGCTATAGGTTATAGTAATGGTTCCATTGATATAATTGACCTATCAATTGATGAAAGTGAGAGGCCTAACTTGGACCAAAATATTCGACGTAGTCGGATTTTCATTCCATCTCCTTTTACACAGTCGATCGATTCGCTTGGTTACAAGAAACCACTCTTTCCCATTGTTTTATTGTCTTTCATTGATATATCTCACCTTTTAGTGGGTCATTTCAGAGGTCATGTAGATTTGTGGCATTTAGATTGGAAAGCGAAGAGTTTCCCAGCTCGTATGATGATGAGAATTTATTCTATCAGTACTTACAAAGCTTCTAAACCATCTCCTTTATTGTCAGCTGTATATGACTCATCGTCCAGTTTGCTTGTTTTATCTAGTTTACCGAACGTCAATGTATCTGTGTCCAAATCAATGCATAGAAAACTTGGACTATCATGTTATTATGTGTCCAAGAAGGCACCTTATTTAACTCCAGCCTCCTCCAGTTCAACATCTGATGTAATACCTGGTGGATTGATGAGTTTATATAGTGCATGGAAGGACACATCAGTTCATTTACTATGCAACTTATTTCGTCGCAACAGTTACCTGACTTGCGATAACACAGATGCAATCACTTCTATGACTTTGGCGAATTTCAGTACTACTTCACTTCCAATTTTTTCATCTTCAGATATATCCGACCAATTATTGCTTGGTAGCCTTCATTCGTCAGGTTCATATTCTGTATGGTTGATTCCATCTTTTGAATTGCTTCTTCTGATTGCCAATCCTCAAAGTAGCCCCAACCTCTCATTATCACCAATGAATCAGGCTTCTAGTATGTATAGTAGACCTTTCCGAATAGCTTGGTGGGGTAGACCTTCAGAATCAGATGAATTATTAAATCAAACTATTCAATTATGTGTTCTTCATGAAAATGGTTCAATTGATTTGTTAGATATAAAAAAATGTGGCAAAGAATTTTATCCTAAAATAGCAAGAAAACTTGAAAGTTTAAAATTATCCAAATTTCCTGTATTTGCTACACATTCTACTGTTCAATCTAATCTTCAATCTTGTTTCTCTGAAATTGTCCTATTATCTTCTTGTTTAAAAGAAGATTCTGAATCTAACATTGACAATATTGTACATCATTCATCTAAAACTATGATTTTTCATCATTGTATACGATGTACCCGATTAAAATCAACCACATATCATGGATTATTTGATCATTATATACGTATAGGTAAATTTCATAAAGCTTTAGAATTAAATAAATCCAATAAAAGGATAAATGATGAAATTGTCTATAAACAAATGTGGATTAGATTAAGTAATGAATTTTGGAAAATCAATAATTTTCAACAATTTCTTCATTCAACATTAGATCCAATTCAAAAAATTCATCCATTATGGATTATAAAACAATGTTTAAATTATCTGCCAAAATTTGTACCGTTCAATTTAAATTATACTTTATTACTTTCAAATATTCAATTAGTTTTAAATTATGGTTTAAATTTATTAATAAATAATAAACATTTAATAAATAATAATCTTTGGTATTCAACTATACATGATCGTTTCTTAACTTATCTAACTCATATTCATTGTATTGAATTAATCATACGAAATGAATTACAATCTGATCCATCAAAGAATAATGAATCAACAATTCATTTACATCTTATTCATCATGAAACATATCAACCTTGTATTCAAGTGATTCTAGAATTTATTAATCATTTACGTATTCATTCATTATTATTTATTGCTTTAAATTATGTTAATTATCAACAATTTATTGCATTAAATACAATAATTGATTATTTCCCAAAATCTATCGGTTTATATCGATTATTGATTGGATCTTATTTATCCGAAACAATTAATCCCAATTTATATTTTAATAAACTATTTAATTTACAATCCATATCACAAAACAATCAAACCGAATCTATTATTGATATACAAAATGATCATCATAATGAGATGTTGATGATAATGATGAAGAGTGTACAATGTAATTTTTCCATTTCATTATATCTAGATGTAGAAATTGTAAATAATCCATTGAAATTGGTGAAAATTTTCTCTTCTTGGTTCATTGAACGAGCTATACAAATTGATACACGTTCTGGTTTAACTAATTATGCATTAAATTTAATCTCTATGGGTTTATCTATGTGTGAAGAAATTTTAAAAGGGAATCCTATTGATCATGAAGTAGAAATATGTTTAAAATCATTGAAAAAAGTTCATCGAGATTTTATTGAATTAGCACAAGTAAGTATCATTATTATTCTCTTATTACTTTATTATGATAGCCATAAACCTTGTTACTAATTAAAAATCATGTTCTCATTAATGCCTGTAGCTCTAGTGCGAAACCATGACCAGTATGTGCGTGTGTGTGTGTGTGGCATTTAAAGATGGTTGCACAGTATTGCGAATTGATAAGAGTTAAACACATAAATCTTTAGATGTAGACTCAATGGTCTAAAGATTAAACGCTTCTCGTGAGACCGAGAGTTCTACGTTCGATCCTCAGTGGTGAGTTCGTTTACATACACTGGTAAATAGTCCCATACCAGGACGAAATAATCTGTCCAGCATTCCCGGTTCTAAAGGTTGTTTAATAAAATCTGTTCGGGATGTGTACACTGCGCGTTATAATTCCCAACTCAGATATTCTGTTTTACTTAAAGCCTAGTTTTTTCCAGCCTACTCTAACTATATGGATCATAAATCTGATTGAATTGGTTGCTGGGATATTCACTTAACAATAGTAATACCACTTCCACTTGTACACAAAATCTGAAAAAAAATAACATTTCGTTGCTTCCTTTGTGTTTTATTCCGGGAAATATTGGTCATGCTGTTGTTATACCCTGCTTCAAAAATATTCACAAAGTTATTCTGCTCTATGCTTCATTAAAAATTAATCTTCATTGAAGAAACAAGTTGTTGGAGAGTAGTTCATTGATATCATTAATATATTACGACTGTCTAGAGATACCTATAAAATCAGATTGAAAATCAGAATATAATTTTGATAACTGACCAACTTGTGAACATATTTCATCGTAACATTAATTTAATCTTATCCTTAACAAGGCAAGAGCATCATCTAGTATTAATTAGAGTTTGTCGTTTGTTTGCGACATGATTTGCATGAAACTATCAGTAGTATAACCTCCAAAATTAAGAGAATGAAATTTTGCTTTATTCCTTAGGCATATCAATAGTCTATGATAAAAACAAGATCTAGAACAACATATATAAGCGGACAATATTGTTTTCGATTAGATCCTCATCAGGCTTTACTGTAATATACTTATTTATTTTAACACATAGATATGAGTCAATGATAATGATGACAAGTGTACTAGTTTTGATAAGAATAATAAAAGCTTAAATCAATGTTACATAATCGGAAATAGGTCGATGATTAGAAAAACATAGACACTGAAATAACATTCATAGAAAGATTATGAGACTATGTAATAAGAGGTATTCAGATAATTGGACTGTGAAGTGTATATCTGAGATAAGAAAAAGGTGGGAGGGTGTGAAGAAAAATAAACGAACAAAGAGTATGGAAAATAATAATAAATGAAATCATTTATTAACGCCAAGGGAGAGACAAGGGTGTTACAAATTCCTTATGAACACAAAGACTTGGATTGTTGGCTCGAATTCCTGCTCTGTGTAAGAGACGAGATCGAACACCTTAGGGAAAACTAGTAGGAATACGATAAATGACTTGTTTCTGTCCACTACATGATCGGTCAAGTGGGATAGAACCGAGCTGCGTATTGTCTTGACATTACCTTTTCCTAACCATGAAGTGCGATGTTCACTAACTCTTTGGTTCAAAACAAAATCAAAATTCTCGTTACCAAACTTTTGAAAATATGGTATCCAGGGCTGGAAGTTACTCTTTTATGATTGTAAATTTAATCTTTCCAACGTTATCTCTAATGTTAAATTTTATTTTACTTTTTCTTTAAAATTTAGATTATCTACAATGAAAATATATCTCCAACTACAACACTACAAATTTCTAATGATTTTACAAGTATAATACCTCAAGAATGTAATAATAATAATAATAATAATAATAATAATAATAATAATAATAATAATAATAATAATAATAATAATAATAATAATAATAATAATAATAGTAATGGCAGTACAAACGAATGTATCAGAGCATTTCAGTTGAAAATGAAAAATTTCCAACATTTCGATTCTAAATTCATTTTAACTCTTCTACTTCGAATTAGTTTGAATCTTATCAACTCGGATAATCTACATAATACATCATCATCATCATCTGTTAATTCAGATAAATTAGTCTCATTTGTTGTTTATCAGTTATTACCACATTTAGCTGAGAAATGTTCTCCATCTGATTATCAACAATTAATTAATCATTGTCTTTTGTATGCAGCAAATTACATAGGTTTAACTGGTCACCTCAAACTTTTGGAGTCAGTTAAATTGGGATCTTTAACTGATTTTAGTGATTATTTGTCAATAAATCTAACTGATTCAGTCGTTTTGAATAATGATTCTCGTGTTAATGATTATCTAACTATTTTAAACCGTGAGTGTATTTTATATACCATATAAGTGTATGGCACGTTAGGTAATATGTGATCGACTTTTTTTATAACAGAAATCGGAGTTCTGCATTTTGTCATAAAATTTACATCCTGATCTCCATTGTAAATGATTCAATAGGCCAATCAAAATTCGCCAACTGAGAAGGTCACGTCGTGCTAATGAAAGATCTCCTGTTAACACGTGCATGTGATTGGTCAAAAAGTAGTTTATTTTCTAGGGATAACATGTATTAATGAGTGTTGATGTATGTGAATCGGTTTGGTCCAAATTATTACTTTCCCTACCCTTAGTCTTCTCGCTTAGTAGCTGGTCCAGGGCATGTCCCTAGAAGGTTTGTATATCAGTATCAGTTTTGAACGGCGCGCCTAATAACAATATTATATATATATATAACCAATTATTACATTAATCCAACATTATAGACTTATAATAATAATAGTGGAGCGGATTCATTTACTTCTTATCTTCCTTCAAAAGTCTTCAGCTCCGATATTATTGCATGCTTTCCATTCCTCTAATTCATTCTGTTTTTGAACAATATTGTCCTGAAATACCGTGGCTCGTTTGGAGGACAGTCGGCTCTTTGTCTCAAAATGCTCACGTGCAACCGAGTATATATATATATATATAGCCTTTGTCAGAAAAATTCTCTTTACTGCCCTTATACTGAATAGGGGCTTTTAATGAAAATGAAAGAAAAAACGGAAAGCAAAATTTTTTTGCTTTAATCTGGCTGGCGGATACTAAACCGATGATGTACATAGGTACCAGGATCCTGAGAGAATAATTGGCGTATGTGCCCGTTTTGTTTGCCATGTACTGTAGAATCGCATATCCTGACGTCGATTTTACAATTAATTGGACACTGAGTAGGGATCAATGTTGTATATATCTCTCAATCCAGGAGATTGGATCGATGGGCAGAACACTTTAGGGATCAGTTCAACTGGCCTTCAGCCACACTTCGGTTTCCCACGATCTCTAGTCAACCTGAATGGCAAGTTATTGTAGGTCCTCCGTCCCTTTACGAAGTTGAAAAAGCCATAGGAAATCTGAAACGAGCGAGAGCAGCAGGCCCTGACAGGTTTACTCCTGAGATTTTTAAGGATGGTGGTCCAGTATTAGCAATGAGATTAAGCGAGGTCTTAGGTAGAATTTGGGAACTGGACGTAATCCCATCTGACTGGTCTCAATCTCTGATTGTGCCAGTCTATAAGAAAGGACAAAAGTCCTCTTGTGACAATCACAGAGGAATCAGTTTGACTAATATAGTGTCTAAAATATTAGCTTCAATAATACTTCGACGCCTAACCGAAGCTCGTGAAGAGCAGACTAGAGAAAACCAGGCCGGTTTTCGACCTGGACGTGGTTGTGTAGACCAGATATTCACACTACGTCAGGTCCTAGAACATAGACACAATAGTAATATTTCTCGACCTTAAGGCGGCATTTGACTCTGTTGATCGTGAGGTTCTATGGCAGTGTTTGTCACTGAAAGGAGTACCAAAGAAGTACATTAACCTTATAAAGGCTCTCTACTCGAACACAACTGGTAGAGTGAGAGCTTATGGCGAACTGTCATCAGAATTGATTACCTCAAGTGGTGTTCGTCAGGGCTGTCCACTCTCCCCATTCTTGTTCAACTTTGTCATTGACGTACTTTTAGAGATAACACTCTCCTCATCTAAATTTACAGGGGTTGAACTTCTACCGGGAGGTTCACTTGTTGACTTAGAATATGCTGATGACATAGTTTTATTTGGTAAAGACGCTGACAAAATGCAGTCTTCTGACCACTGTAAGCAACAATGCAAGCATGTTCGGGATGCGATTCTCTCCCTAGAAATGCAAAATGTTGCTTCAGGATTGGGTTACATCGACACCCGAACTAGTGATAGGGAGTGAAGTAGTTGAGTGTGTCGACCGCTTCACTTATCTTGGAAGGAAACGGGTACTAGGTAAGGATGGCAAATCAATTGATGAAGTAGTGAAACTTCATCAGTTGAGATGGCAGGGACACGTGTTACGTATGCCCAACGACCGACTACCTCGACGTGCTATGTTCAGTGGTATAGGAGTAGGTTGGAAGAAAGCTAGGGGCGGCCAAACCAAAACATGGCACAAGTCCATGAAGTCACTGACAAGTGAAGTGAGTCATGTTGATAGGTGTAGACTACCTGGTTGGGGACCGCGAGATGATAGCAACCGATGGTTAGAGACCCTGAATGACATGGCTCAAAATCGTTTGCAATGGCGCAGGTGCATCCACTCTCTGTGTTCTCCCAAATTCTAATCTTCTGAATTCTTCATGTCCCTTTTTTCCTCTTTCCAAATTTATTTCACTGAATTATAGTCTTTAAATAACATCTCCAAACCCTAATCTTCCCGATTACTGCTTATACTCTTGCTACCTCTACCACTACGGGATTTGAACGACCACTGCATCTCTGTGCTAATGTGGTGTGGCAACTCGAACTGATGTACGTACGTACGAAGTTCTACGTTGTTACTGACTGACTGACTGGATATCAGGTTCTTAGCGCCAATCGAATTCTATCGACCAAGTTGCAGTGAGACCAAATGACTCAGTACCACGTCCATTATACTGAGACATAAGGTCTTCTTAAGATTACCTTACTGACGAGTGTCAAATAGCACAAAATCTAGGTTCACGGTTTCCTATCGATTACCTTCAATCAGCATCTTACCTAACGGTGGTCTACTGCCAAAAGCTCAGAGAGTGACGTCCTAAAATAGCCGCCCATTCATATTGTCCTTTTTAGCTGTATGTAATCTAAAATAGTATACTTTTCTATATTCTTCTTCATTACATTTTAGCATATCGACTATTAAATGGATTAGTTTATGTTTTGAAAGAATATGAACTGGATCATAAAGTTGATCAACTATTCAATCAAGAACCGATTGTATCATTATCAACATACTTAAATAATGCTAATCAACTTATTCAATCAATGCTTATTTATTGTCAAGATTATAAAATGATTATTTTACAATTTACTAATGAAATAGATTATAAAAACTTATTAGAAAGTATTCAATTGATAAATCAATTTATTCTAGCTTTTATTGAATTTCAATCATTGATACAATCCATTGAAAAATGTATTGGTTCATCAATTCAATTATCTTTCAATTCTATTGGATCATTTTATCGATGTAGTCAAGATGCAAAATATTTTTATTATTTATTAAATAATTGGATGCAAATATTCAATCGATTAGCTATGACATATGAATATAAAGATAATATCTCTGATGAATTAATTCATGATAGTAATCATAAATGTATACAACGATCACAGATTTCTGAATCAACTATAAAGAAACTCAAGTAATCAACGAATAATAATAGTTATTATTATTGTTTATTTTCTTCATATTTCACCATTTATTAGCCAATTCACACGAATGCTTAACAATGGTATAGAATGCTAAACATGATAATTAACATTTGCTAACGATGATGTAGTCGTATTTGAAGATTTTGATGACTAAAGTGGCTAAGAGATTCGTTAGGCACCCCCCCTATCTCGACATGAAATAGTAGTTGGTGTGTGGAAAGCTACTTTTATTTATTTATTTTATTTCAACACATAGATAATGGTACAAAGAGGCACCAAATACATATGCGCTACACAAATCTCATTCGATATGTGTGAGGGCTGTGATACTGCCCGGGTGCCCAAACCGAAGCAGGTGGTTTTCTTAGGGGGCCCCATCCTGAGCCTTCGACATGAAGGTCTGATCCACAGGGCAGTGGAGCACCGTAAGGAGATGTAGTCCTATGGTAGCCGGTGATCAGCGACCGGTTCATACGCCATTTGTTGATTAAGGATACTGGAGTCCATGTGCACCATTGGTTTTGAATCCGGTTAAAGCGCCGGACATTCGCTTTTCATCCTCTCAATTTCGTAAACAACAATAATGCCACGAGAAGGCAGTGAGTAGGACTTCCCTGGCAGAGGCTGTATACGCGTGGACATGTGAGAGCATTTGGAGAGGGAGAGCGGACTCTCCCCACTCTCGGCCGTACCAGGGCATTTGGGGGCTTAAAATGAGCTAGGGGTAATATATATTGGAAATAACCCAGGAACATCGACTGTAATAGTGAACTTTTTTGTTTATATATTCGATATGAAATCTTGGTTTTTGCATAAAACCAAATGTCGTTTGTATAGGTGTTAGCCCAGATTTTAAAATATTCCTTAAAACTATTTGTAAATATTTTGATGGTACAATGAGAAGTTGATCTAAAACAAAATGTAATGTATTATACCTCAATTACTAAGTTGCAACGTAGGACCTGGTACGTATGTGAATCAGTTGAAGTCCCCGTATCTCATCACCACAGACAGATGAAACTGTCAGGCTATATCCCAGAATAGTAAAGGTAGTAACAGTAACAGTGATAACAGAAAAAAATTACGCCTCGAATATGTGATTTAGAAAGAAAATTTAAATTGGTAAAATGAAAACAAAAGGTTATGAGAAAATCAGAAGCTCAAAGTCTTTGGGAAGACAAATAATGTGTGCACCTACACCATTCCAAACAAATCCAAGTCATGTCGTTCAAACTCTCTAACTAATGTTTACGATAATCATGCGAACACTAACCAGGTAGTCTACACCTATCAACATGGTTAAGTCGAATAGTCAGTGACTTCATGGACTGATGCCATATTTCGGTTTGGCTGAGAGTAGCATTTTTCCGGCATACTCCTGCATCGGACAACATAGTCCACCGAGGTAGGTGTTGGTTCGGCATAGGTAACACATGTCTGAAAGACCACAGTTGATGAAGATTTACAACCTCATCAATCGATTAGTCATCCTTAACGAGTATAATATTCCTTACCTAAGGATTGCTTACTCGATGATCAGAAATACACGAATTAGGCTTCGAGTACTCCGATGATCGAATACTAGTAATTTACAGATATTTTCTATTTTTGATGGGTGTTTCACGTGAATAAAGTAGAACAGAGATAACTGATGTGGAGTGAACTGGTCGTTTGGTTGACAGAAACGTGTCTTGATTACACCACAAATGATGCAAGTTTGCAAAATCCACTTGATCCTTCTTTACCCGTGTCGAGGTTTTTTTTAGGCACTGGAATATGAGGACTGCTGAGACTGTTTAGATAAGTGAAGCGGTTGATGAGTTAAACTAGTTCACTCTCTTTCATTAGTTCAGGTGCTGACGCACGCCAGCCACGAAACAACACTACATTTAGAGGAAGAGATTTGTGTTATTATAAAGCTATTTGGAATCACTCACTCTAAAGTAAGCAATAACAGTCCAAATGCAACCATTTCATTATGAATATCACTGAAAAAAAAGAATTAGTTTTATTGTGAAATTGAAATAAATTCGTCAACATTTTCTTTTTAAATCCTTTTAGTGATACTTTCTGTCAATTCTACAAAATTCTGTCAAAAGCATTTCATCATTGTCCATCTGAATCATGGTTAGAAATTGGTTTACAGTATACATTATTCGCTTCAGGTAATGAATATCTTCTTGAATTATCAAGAAATTTCTGTTTAAATTTCAATGAATCACGTATAAATTTACAAAAAACTATTGAATTATCTGAAAATGCATTAAATACATGGAGAATTTGTTTATTAAATGCTATTCGTACCTATGTGAATACATCTGTACCAATAAGATCCGATTTAAAAATGGTATTTACTGATTCTCAAACATCATCATCATCATCATCATCATCATCAAATGTCTACTCTAATAGAATTATGGATCCTAATGAACGTTTAGCACGTCATTGTTTATCCATTATTGATTCATTACATAATCAAATGAATTGGAATCAATCATTGTTATTAGAATTTCATATAGAAAAATGTTTATTAGATGCATCAACATTTCTTGGAACAATTCATAAAATATTATCACCATCAATGATATCATCATCTTATTTACCGTATAAATTAAGATATTTATGGTGTACTACTACTACTACTACTACTACTACTACTACTACTACTACTACTACTAATAATAATAATAATAATAATAATAATAATAATAATAATCAGTCGGATGAATTATGTAATAAACGTATTGATTTATTGATTGATGCATTCAATAAATTAATTAAATTATTTTCCATAGATACTAAAACTAATTATGATAATAATTATTTAAAAAAATTATTTAATTCAATATTATTACATAATATAGCTAATAGTTTCTTAATAAACATTGAACAAGTAAAAAGATGTTTTATTCATTCCATGTATCATTATATCAAATTAAATACAAATGATAATTATCCTAATGTATATTTATTACATTTAACTTATAATTATTTAAATGATTTAATTGAATTACGTAATGAATTATGTTGGCATGAATGTGCTAATTGGGCTGGTTATGAATCTGAATTATATGATCCATCAGATATTTTTAATCATCATCATTATACTACTCATATTAATAATAGTAGTAATAATAATACTATTGAGAAATTTGATAATAAATTATATTCATGGACATATTTACATGCATTATATAATATTGAACGTTCAAAATATAATTTCACTAATATGAATATAGATATAATGGAATTATGGAATGTTGAACGTTATCGTTTACGTTTAGCTAGATATGCATTAGCTTATTGTAAATCATTAGAATATTTATATGATTTATGTAATTTTATTGGATTATGTACACTACGTCTTGAATGGGTTACATTATCGATTATTATGTTAAATAATAATAAAAAAGAAGGTAGTAATATTAAAAAGTTATCACGTAATATGTATAAACAACTGGTTAAATTAATATCGTCGGAATATCATCAATTAGAAACTGAGAATCATAATAATAATAATAATCATGATAAAGGTATTACATTATGTTTACCACCATATTATTCAGAATTAACAAATGATCTATTCACTGAATTAAGATCAAATATATTCGATCAATTGGAACCAATTAATTATCCTAATTATGGTTTAAATGAACAACGTCTATGGTTTGCTTTTCTTATTCATTGGGCTAAATTGAATCAAATCAATATATTTAATGATCATGATGATGATAGTGATGATGATTGTAATCCTAATATTATTTGGTGTAAAACATTTTTAGAAGTAATGAATCGTGATACACGTTTAGCAATTAGTTATTCAGCTATTGGTTCAAAATATTGTCGATTTTATTCATCTAATTCAATATCCTATTTGAATTATATAAATCAAGTTAGTTCTATTCTATTACCATTTATGGAATCATCTAGTATTTCTGTGAATTTCGATAGTACATGTCGTATTGTATTAGTTCTATTATGTTATATTTTAATATCAGTTTATGAATATAAAACTATGGAATATTGTCTTCCATGTGGATGTTTTCCATCAGGTAAATATTTATGTTCAAAATATTGTTCTTTTATAACATCTGAAGAATTTAGTCAAGAATTTAATCAACTTCATAAACAACTTATTCATACATTGTTAATTGTTTTAAGAGAAAGTCTTATTCATCGTCTTATTAATAAATTTCCAAGTATTGATTTTGTCCGATTTCATCATGATCAAAATTATCAAGAAGATACTATATATGGATTATGTTCAACAAATTTTTCACTTGGTCTACAATTATGTTCATGTTATAATCTTTCACAAATTGAAGGTATATTTTGTCGTCTTGAATATTTATTCCGTGATGAAGATTATACTAATGATAAAATTAAAAAAATGATAAATTATATTATTCAATGGATCTTAACATATCCAAATGGAATGGAAATTTTAATTCATCGTATTCAACAAACTATTTATCCATTTCTAATACAATTTTCACAAATAAAATTATTTTTTGATGTATTACCTAATGAGTGTGATTTACAGGTATTTGATGGTCTTCAAATACAGCTACATCGAAAGATATTGAATAGTTTATCAAAATTAAACATTGATGATACATTTTTCAATTGTTTAAGTTATCCTGAATTCATTAATTCTCTTCATCAATCTACTGAATTGTATAATCATCCACTATTTAACTTTATCCAAACTAAATCTGTTGCAGATGTTGTAGCGAAAATTGTTGAACAAATACAAGCTGATGTTGACAGTAATGAGATTACATCTTTACAAGTTGGTGATATTTATGCAATATTTGGTTTAAGAGTGTTTTATAACTCGACATTATTTGAATCTTTCAAAAATATGTCTGACTTATTAAAATTATTTGAATTGATCGCTCCAGGTAACACTTCAAATGATGTTTCACGCTTTGTAAACTGGTTGGATGAATTGTTATATGATAGTACATTTTCAGAAAATTTATCTATTAGTCAACGTCGTTTGGTTTTGAAATCGGCACATTCTTTTGTTTCAAGGTTAGTACTGTTTTAATGCCATTTTTTATTTGTCTTTATTACAGGGGTTTGTCGAGATTGTTCAATGTTATTAAGATCACGAACCAACCTAAGTTAGATAAGCATTGGAAACCAGTATTCTCTCAGCATGTGTTCTGTCTTTGTATGGGATTCATCAATTGTGTTTATCTACGATTCCACCAGGGAATGAACCCAGGATCCCTAAGTTTTGCAGCGGGCGCTTGACCTCTAGACCATCGGGCCGGCATCAAGTGGTATATGTGTATACCTTTCGTCAATTTTTCAGATTCGAGACCCATCTTCTATTGTCGTTGGTTGGTAACCGCTTAACGCGGTTGAACTCCACTAGTTACGGCTTCTCGCTAGATCTCTGGGAATTACCTTTCGAAATTAGTCACTAGTGTCTACATGATAAAGGGGTTTTTGGAGACTGTTAAATAATATTGTGATCACAAACCAACGTATTTCTTATCGTTTAACTAATTTCCTAAACGAAATTGTTAGTATACTACTTAGTTTAAAATTTTCTTTTTCATCATTCCATTGTTAACGTTTTAGCTTGACCAAATATAATATTAGTAATTAATATCACACTTTGTATCTTGGCCTTTGTCTCAAGCTTTCACTGTGATGAACGTACGTACAGACGGTTTTGGTGCTTATTTTACATGACAATCAAACATTTGTTATTTCCATATAAGTATCAGCAGTGGTTTTTTATGATAACATTTAGATGTTGCTGAGTAGATTCTTTTTATCTGTGTATATATACTCATTGTTCATGATTTTCACAAGGTCCAAACAACTAGGATGCATTGCATATGAAGTTAAATAATCTCTCATAATCGATTACATACTCTTCTGCAGTGAATTTCATAACGTAACGATACACTTTAGGTAGGTTTTTCGGATTTTTCTGCTATTATACTGTCGATGACCTTAGATGGTGATCATGTGATTAAAGGTCAGTCATTGATATTACTAATATTTCCAATTATTTTATCCTGATCATGTGAATTTCTTGCTACTTTGATAACGTGAAGTATAGCATCTTGAAGAACTGATTCACGTTGATCTCAAGTCATCTGCTGTAGATGACTGATTGAAATGTTACATGTTTGCAAATAGTAAACGATTAATGCGTGATTTTTGTTCTGGTTGCTAATTCTCTGTACACATAATTTACCCATTGTTCTACTGAGTTTAAATTAGACTGGAATAGATATAGGCATTAGGTTTTAATAGACGTAGAACCTGGCACAAGTGTGTATAAGCTCAGGCAGGTATACCATATTAGCAGAATGAAATGAAAGTAACATAATGACTAGCAATCGAGTCGAAATAGTGGTAGTGGCTTTGATAATGATCGACGCTAAACATTGAGGATATGTTTCAAGAAGATGAAATGAATGGAAAGTATATATGCAAAGGAACATTGGAACTTACGACTTGGAAGAAGATAGATTTTGAGAGCATTTGCAACACTATAACCAGTTTTACCCCATATGAATTAACATCACACGTTGATGTAGGCAGTGGTTCGGGATAAGTAATACATGTAGTAATACATGTTCGAACCACCTTAGTTGATGATGGTTTACAGTCTCAACAGTTGATCTGGGATTTCGCGTCCAACCCTTCTTTCCAGCTGTTTCTAAGTGCTATTTATTTTTTTGATGCCTGCCTTCCAATTTTCGGGTGCAACGTGTTCTTTGGTGTGCCTCTTTATTTTTTCCTTCAGAATTTCAAGCTAGGGCTTGCCTCATGATGCAGTTTGATGATTTTCTCAATGTGTGTCCCATCCACCTCCACCTTTTTTTTGTTTTCTACCATAACAGGTTGTTGCTCATGGTATCCAGTCGACGGATATTGAGTATCTTATATAGATAGTTGTTTATAAATACTTATACTTTTTGATGATGGTTGTAGTAGTTCTCCAAGTTTCAGATTTCATACAATGAAACTGTTTTGACATTTATATTGAAATTTCTAATTATGATGTTGGCTAACAAACAGTTATTTTAAGTTCTATATAATTTTCAATTGTAGAAACACTGCTCTTATTTTGTCACCATATATATATCTATATCTATGAGAAAGTGATACTTGTTTTGTATTCAATTATAAGCTTGTATTTTAACTAGTCTCTTTTGGTCATCCGTTGTTTTTTTTGCTATTAACTCACAGTGTATCATTATTACTATTATTGTTATTACCGAATAACTTACTATTCTTTTTCTTGATTACAATTTATTTAGATTAAATCAACCTACTACTGAAATGGTGATCAATGATTATGTATTAAATTTCAATCAAATTTTATATTTATTAAATAATATTTTATTCCCTCAAGAGAATACCATTCGCAATGATCAAGATGATTTCAATGAAATAGATCTAAATAAGAATTTTATTAATAAATTCTTATTACCTAAAGCATTCTATTCTAAATTAATTAGTATAAAACCAACTAATCAATTAGCTAAAGTTAATTTCTTTAAAGAGTTTATCTTTACCATCATTAATAATCCTTTGAATGGTATACATCAACATAGTAACAATGATATGTCATCACATTTGGTTTGTTTAAAAATTACTACAAAATTACAAATTCTTGGCTGTTTACTACCACATTGTTTGAAAACGTTAAATATTGAAAATGAAGTATGTCTTCTATGTATATAGATGTATCTATTTGTTATTATTAAGAATAAGCATTATTGTTATATATCATTATTCCTTTTGTATTGCTTGTTTAGATTTTCTTGTTTGATATTATTGAGGATTACAATTGATCAATCTCTCTGTTAGCAGATGTGCATTTGGTCAGTCAGTTACAATGTAGGACCAGATATATTTCTGCATCGGTTCAAGTTGTCATATCTCATTAGCACAGCAGGACGAACACCGAATTCATAGAAGGAGTTAACCAAATGGTTTATTAGATAAAAGAAAGATTTTATGTATGCATATAGTACAGAAAGAAAGATATGAAGCGATTTATATCTTATAATTATGAGAAGATAAAGAGTGTATACACCTACACTATTGTGATCGATTCTGAGCCATGACCCATGGTGCGGATTGACTCAGTATTCCCAGTATGTCACAAGCGATGAATGTTATCTAGCAGTGTAATCCAGGATGTGCGTTTCTCCCCCATTTGGAAGTCGTTAGATGAGTGTATCTGTGATGGCATTTGAAATAAGCGGTACTGGTTTCATGTCCCGGAGTGAACATTAACTCTTGGATCCAGGTACACCTAAATAACGAGTACTGAATAAGATGATGCCATATGTCATTCATTTCGTCTTGGTTATGTGATTACTAAAAGGGTTGTAGTAATTTTAGTATCAAAGCTAGTGAAGTACACTGAACATCTGAGAATCTAGTTCGGAAAGAAATTATGAATTGGAGGGAAAAAAGTATGCAATAATATTGAAGCTAAAAACTTGAGGGGGAGATAAGTAGTGAATTCATCTTCTGCACTACCATATATACTTTCATACCACTTAGTTACTGAGTGCGTAGTTTCGCATTCAATCGGACGTCTTTAAGCTATTCAAGTTCTCGGTCTATTTGTTCACTTCTTTCATGTAAATGGTAACTGAAGATTTATTTGTAAAGGTTTTTATTTTCCCGTTGTTGATGTTAAAGACTACAATTAATCCGTCTCTGTCGTCATATATGCGCTTAATAGTTACAAATTCTTTTGAAGTTTGAAGTGAAATACGTTGGTTTCTAGTTTCTATTTGAACAACAATACTGGTATACAACCTCATGCGCCCGAAAATTTTCAAATAAAATTTAACGCATATGATATATCCTACTCGTAGCCGTCATCATAACTTTATAGAAGGAAATCTAGCTCAATGTGATTCACGTTTTGAGGTAGAAAAATAAAATGTTATCTATCAAATACAGCTACTCTTTGGTTTGTTTATAGTCAGTTATACCTGTAATAAGGTGTGATTACTTTGATTTATAAATTAATTGTTTTCGTTCGAATTAAAGTTATGTTCTCTTATATGTAAGGTGTCCCCAAATGCCTTGGTACGGCTGAGGGTAGGGAGAGTCAGCGTGGTCAGGAAAGTCCTACTCACTGACTTCTCGCATCACAGGTGTTGTTTACGAAATTGAGAGGACGAAAAGTAAATATCCGTCGCTTAAACCGGGCTGGTGGACACGGAGGTTACAACTAGGGAAGTTGGAAAACTATGAATCTAAACCAATGGTGTACATGGGCTCTAAGATCCTGAGGGAACAAATAGTGTATGAACTTATTGTTAATTACCGTCTACCGTGGGACCGCATGTCCTTACGTTGCTCCACTGCCTTGTGGGTCAGACCTCTGAATCAAAGACTCAGCGATTAGCCTCCTATGAAAACCACCTGCTTCGGTCTGGGTATCCGAACAGTATCACAGCCTACACACAAATCAAGTGACTTGTATGGTACATATATATTTTCGATGCCGCTTTGTACTAATATTTATATATTCAAATAAATAACTAAAGTATAAATTGAAATGGAATAATTTTTCAATCGATTCTTCTTCTTCTTCTTCTTCTACAGATTTGGTTAAATATTCTACAAGAAAACTTATCTATTTGTTTCTCATTATTATCATCAATATTTACATTAAATTTTGAATATTTTTCACAAATTAACATAAATCAACAACAACAACAACAGGAACAAATATCAACACAAATGTTTACTAATTCACAAGTTCAATTAATTTATCCACATCTTAATGATTTTCTTAATTTATTTATCAAAAATGATGATGATGATGATGATCCGGATCATGATCATGATCCATTGAATGATCCATATCGAATTGATTCTATAGAACTTTTAACTTGTCTTTTATCAAATACAACTATACGTCGTTTATTTGGTAAAAATTTATTAAAATCTTATTCTAATCCTATAAATGATTGGGATGAATTACATTTTACTAATACACTTACAATATTTATGAAAACATTAAATTATTTACAAAATTCTTCTAATAATTCACAATTATCAGAATTCAATAGTCAACTTTCATTATTATCCATTGATAATGATATAAATCAATTTCAAAATAGTATAATACAATTATTTGAACAAAATTTAATGATGATTAATAGTGATGTTGATGATCATCATCATCAATTGAGGAACAATTTCATGGAGGATTCATTTATTATGATTAAGGAAAATGTAGAACTATTGAGATCAATTATTGAGTTAATTGATCTGATCATAATCGACGGTAATTTCAATTGTTTGTTTTCTATTGAGATTATGAACCGATTGATGTTAGATCACCATTGAAAATCTGGAAGTACTGAACAGCCATTTTGTCCTATTGTGAGAATCGTTAACAGTGTGCATCTACGATCCCGCTCGCGGGATTCGAACTCGAGGCCTTCGGCTTCAAGAGTGAATGAACCGCCATCCAACGGTGATAATGTCGAACGTAAATCAATCCACGAAATTCCGCGACCATCTTCTGTTGTACTGAGATAGATACCTATCTCTACCCGACACTCATTAGCTCCATTGTTCATGGCTTCTCACTAAAACTTCGGGAATTCCCTCACGAAGCTAGTCACTAGTGAGCACATGGTAATTATTAGTATGGGGTTGTGGAGATTATTAAGTTTTTGATTGAACCGGCTGATGTTAGACCACCATGGAATGGTCATTTTAATGGTCGAAAATTTTCAACACTTCTCTATTACATGTTCTTGTGAATGAATGATGAAGAGTTATGACTAAATTGGATGCTTTTAGTGATGTTGTATTCTTTTAGCTCTTTGCGGAGGTTAAATTGTCATTTTAGACACCTTTAAATACGTTCATTTAAAATTGAAGTTTTCAACCATTGCACAATTATTATATCAGTTTTGAATAATTGAAAAACTCAATTCCATATAAAGTAAGCGCTAAACATGTCTTCAAGTATAATAATCTAAACTTCACAATTACCCGATCAAAAACGTGTTCGATTGTCATCTTTAGGTTAAAACCTGATCTTCATTCGATTTTGGATTTAGGTACCATAGGTTCGAGATCCATAGTCCTGTATTCAATATGGAAAGTAAATAAGCCACTAAACCATGTTACCTAGATGTTACTTTTTCATCTGATTGAAATGGGTTTTTTTCAAATATTGATTGTAGTTTTACTGAGATCCCTGATATATTGAAGCTATTTGCAAATACAACATCGATTCGGCATACGCTATTTGAAGTATTTACTGCCAACATCATTTGATTTTATTCGTTATTAGTTGTTATTATTAGGAACTGTTAACACGACTAGATGTATTATCCTTGTTTTAATGCAATGATACGATTATACAGATCTGATCATAAGTTGTCACCTACCTTTCAGCTGTCTAAGTCCTTTTTATTACCTAGATATCCGTACTAATTTTATCGTTCAGTAAATGATGCTTCCTATTCGCTTTATCGGGATTTTCCAACTCCTCCCAGTGGGTTTCCCATATACATCAACCTGCTTAAAGCGTCAGACATCTAAATTTCGTAAACAACACCCATGGTGCGAGAAATCAGTGACTAGGGCTTTCCTGGCAGTGGGTGTATACACGCGGCCGTATGAGAACATATGGAGAGGGGGAGCTGACTCTCTCCACTCTCGACCGTTTCAGGGCATTTTTAAGAGTTCCACAGCATTTAGGATTGCAACACAATGATAAGTATTTAAAGTTCTCCTGTTGTATAACATAGATAATATACTGCTGACTTACCTTTTATTTCCTTGTGTTTAGACATACTACCAGATAAATGTGATTTTCTCCAAAATTTATGGATACTATGGTATCAATATTGTGAAAAGTCTGGTATAATTTTTATGAACAATGAATTATTCAACTCTGAATTATTCATATATCAATGGACAAAATTTTGTATTCCACCAATTGAATTTACTAAAGCCGGACTGAAACGATTATCAGATTATTACACTTACAATAAATCATTTCCATCTTATCCAATTACATATCAAGCTGCCCTACTTAGCAATGGTTTATTACAATCTAATATTGATTTGATCAATTCTACATTATCTATTTTATCTAATATAACAAATCATGATTCGATTATTCATTATTTAGATTCATATGTTTGTTGTTATTTCATATGTAATCACTATAAATATTACTTAAATTTAATGAATAATAGTAGTATATGTAATGATCCAATCATTTCTAGGAAATTCTTTTCGAAACTATTCACTTCATTGATGAACTTACTTCAATCAAATCATTCTAATCAAATGATTTATTATAAAATGGGATATAATTTGTGTTTATTATTACGTAATGAGAATATGTGGTTAGAAGCAATGAAAATTTATCGGATTATTGAGCGAATCGACACTAATAAATTACCAATAGAATATCTTATGAAATTAATTCATGAATTAAAATGGATTGAAGAATAAATTAAATATTTTCTACTGTATAGAAACTGTCTTTTCTTTCTTTCTTTCATTCTTTTTGTTTTGTTTTGTTTGTTTGGTTTTATTGTTCAATATCTTTTTTTCTTTGTGAATAAATTATTTTTTTGTCTTTCATTTCATGTTGTTGTTTGATCATGAACCGATTGATGTTAGACCATCATGGAAAATCTGGAAACACCGGATGGCCGTTTTGTCCTATTATGGAACTCTTCAGCAGTGTGCATCCAAGACCCCGACTATATACTCACTAGTGAACGGTTTCAAGAAGTATATCCTGAAGTTCTAGTGAGAAGCAGTAGTGACCTGTGGAGTTCAACCGAGTCAGTTGTGAGATAGTAACCCACTGATGACAATGGTAGATGTGTCGCTCAATTTCGTGGATTAATTGATGTTTTACGTTAACACCGTTAGATGCCGGCTGGCTCAATGGTCTAGTGATTAAGTGCTCGCGCGCGAGACCAGTTGGTCCTTGGTTCGAATCCCACGAACGGGATCGCGGATGCGCACTGTCACTAAGGAGTCCCGCAACAGAACGAAACGGCCATCGAGGTTTTCCATGATGGTCTAGATTCAATTGACTCATAATGTAGTATTTTTGATGTTAATGTTGTATCCAATTAAATCTGGTTCAGTATGGGTTGTTCCTGTAAATGTAAAATATTGCTTTAGGTTTCGTTTTTATCATTATATGTTGAACACTTCGCTTATCTTCGAAATTTCATCAGAACTGATCGATTGGTGTCTGAGGATATATTGGTAGGAATTCTAAACATTCGCCTAACTTTCCTTAACTTGTGATGTCTGACAAAGAAGGACGATTATACTGCACAGCAAATCACTTTGTTCTTCTTTATGCCTATGAAACAAGGCATTTAAAAGCAGATGGTGTTCATAGTTTTCTAGTACTTGATTTGTGTGTTTGGTGCATTGCCTATAAATGAAATTACTGAATGAACATTGCTGGGGTAGCGAATCTTTGTCGATTGAGGTTGGGATATATTATTTGTATCTCCAACCACCCCCTACCCCAACGCGCTATGTTCGCTGGTGTAGGTTAGACAAACTCTACGGACGGTAAAGCCGAAACGTGACTGTTGATCTTAACCATGTTTAGTAAGTTCAGACTACCTATTTGGTGTCCGTGCGATTATCGAAATCAATCGTTTTAGACGTTGGATGACAAAGCATAGATTAGGTTGCATAGCTAATGGGGATATACTAGTTCCAAGAAAATTGAGTAACATCTATCAGGTCACACATGATCCAGTTCAGTTCTGAAAGGAATTGTTCACAACTAGTCAATTATTCCGATTTTAAATACGATACTAAGTGCCCCAGTTTTTATCTCTCAAATTTAATGAACATTAAAATCAAACTATGGACCCTATCAGATATCTCATACAAGAGCATACATATATTTAACACATCATATGCTACTCTGCCAACATGTTATTCATGATAAAATTTTCTCGATAAATATTTATACTCTATATCCCAATGAATATTCATCATTAAACCAAAGTTTGTGAGTAGTTAAATTAGGTGAAGATAACACAATAGTTGGACGATTTGATTTCAAATTTATAACAATCCATTTTTACAACTCAACTATCCTATTTCTAACAAAATGTTCATAGATATATATGATTAAAAGATAAGAAAAAGTCTTAGTTAATCATTTTTGTATGAAGAAACTTAAACTGAATGTTTAACAGTTTGTTGATTAAATGAAGAGATTAATGTATTGAAAATATTCATAGAGTAATCCTGTATACACATTTAAATCTGTTTGTTTGTGTACATCTATACGTGTATACATTCAAAAGTCTATTTCAACTAGATGTTTACTAGTTTCTTTAAATTAGTTATGCTACTATGAGTTAAAATTATTCTTAACTACTCTATAGGTTTTTATTAGTTAAATAAGAATTTTTCATTTTTCTAATCCATTCGACCTCCAATTATATGATAAGAGTAATTTACAAGAGGATTATTCAATGGATTCTTCTTATTATTATTATTATTATGGTCTTGTTTTATTAATCTACTTTTGTTAAAAGTAGTATGTAGATTGATGTATGGAAAAAGGAGAAAAAAGAAGTAATTAAACCGTTAAATTTTACTGATCTATTTACTATTCACTAATCTTTTACTGTATATAATCACTATTTGTATGCATAGACTGATACATACACAAAAATGTAAATTATTTTGTTATTGATGATGATTTACAATTATCTAATTTAATCTAAGTTGATCCCGTCTTTCTGCATTTTGGTATGACTTCATTTTGTCGGGAAACATACGATACAATCTTTTTTCTAAATTGTTATAATAAAGAAAGATTTATTCTTTGAAAAGGTTATTTTTATCACTAAGTTTGGGATCTGACATATCATTCCCATTTAAATATGTTTTTTTTTTAAGAAAAAGAACACGAAATTTACTGAAGAAATCTCTTGTCAACGAATTCATGATTATGCTGTACTGTAGTGAACGACAACATAAGTGGGGACAATCGTTTGTATTTGAATACAAAATTACAGAATATCTTAGTTAAATCTGAGAATCGTACAGTTCATATTTCATTTGCAAAATGTCAATTAATTGTCTCAGACTTCACTGCTCCTTCATTTCCACACCAATCATTCACTGTTCTCGTTCTCTTTTCTTCGATTTTCTTAACCTCCTACTGCCAGTATTTCATTTTCAAATGGTGATACATACCACTTATATCTGTCGACATCGGTAGCACACATCAAGTATTAGTTCCGTGCAAATAACTTGAAATTACTATCTCACAACAGACATGGTTGAACTCCACTGATCTCTGCTTCACACTAGAACTTCAGGGAATAACTCTTGACATCAGTCACTAGAAAAGCCCCAAGATTAAATCATTTGTCTCAAACAATGCAACTACTATATTATCATTAAAATTAATCACTTGTAACACAGAACAATTATAAATAAATACACAACAACAGTGTATTATTATTAATTGAATATTAAACTAATCATGACATGAAACACTTTAAAAATAAGTTCATAATTATTATAATAGTGTTTTATATTCTTTATGATATTTGAATAGATAAGCTAAACAATAAAAATCTAACATGTTTCATTTCTTTTAAATGAGGCTAATAATAATAATAATGTTAATAGTAGTATACTTATCAGTAGTATAGGTATGTTCAAATGAATTTTAATAGAGATTTTCATAAAAAATATTTTTTGTATACATTCATACACTTCTGTTCTATTTTAATTTGAAATAGACGATTATTGTATTCTTTGTTTAAATAAAAATGAATAGATCACTAACAATGAAACTAAACAGATCAATAATACAATCCAATCCTCATGTAACCAACCACAGAAAATAAGACACCAAAAAAAAAGGAGGGAGAAGAATCACTATATTTTCACGAAAACCAACAATATGAATTCATTATTGATTGTGTTCAATTGTACTTGACAAGTGAATAGTACACATTTCCACATGGTGTAAGTTTCATTTTTTTTAACGAAAATTAATAAAAATAACCGTGTTATTTTTTTCTTCTTTAAACAATATCATCTGATGAATTACCTAATCGTCCAAGATGTGATCGATGTGTTTGAGTTGATTTCAACTTATTATGATTCATAGTTGACATGTGACTAATTGGTGTAATTGGTGAACAACTACTTAAAATAGGATCATTTATCACATTAATTGATTGATGATTATATTTAATAGAATCTTTATGAATAGAATTAATTACATCCTCACCATCACCATCACCATCATGATCATGATCATCATCATGATTACTCTTTGATTGTTTTGTCCAAGAATATGGATTTATTGTATTAGGTATTGAACTATTTGAAATGATTGGAAATTGTTTTCTATGAATAGATGATGAATGATCTTTATGCATCTTTATAGAATTGATTGTTTTATTTCTACAAAAATATATTGGTTCCGATGTTATATGTTGATCTAGAAATAAATTTTGATAACTTTTCCATAATTCTGCTGTTAATTCACTAGCTAATAAAATACCACAATTAGATGTAATTAAACGTATTACAAATAAACCATCTAAACCTAAATAATAATTCACAAATTCATTGATTTTATGATCGATTTTTAATTGATTATTAATTGGAATTAAATTTAATACTTTTAAATAATCAATAATAAATTTCATTCTTGATTTTGGTAAAAATATTCGATAAATCCATATCAGGAAACTAATTAAATTAATACAAGCAATTAATACATGCCAAAACCATAAAAAGATATAAATTTTCTCCAAGAACATATTCAATGGTAGAACACATTGAAGGGTATAGCTGAAATGTAAATATATTAAGTATATGATTATAACTCTAATACAATTTCATATTTAAATTATACAGTAATGTAGATAACAAAGAAATTGGATAAATAATGTTCTTACTTACTCACGTCTGTTACTTCCAATGGAGCATAGGCCGTCGACCACCAGTGTAATACTGTCTAACTATATATTTGTTATACATATATGTATAGTATGGATTCAATTTTATATAGGTATTGATTACAAATTTAGCGATATATATATATATATATACTGAACATTAGATTACATAAAGACAGAGTGGAGTGGATACACTACCGTTTGCTGTGAATATGTGCAGTTTCTAAGTAGAGATGGGTGGTGGATAGTAGTGGAGTCCAGAACTCACGTTTCATCCTATTTGGGACTCGTCAATTAGATGTACCTGCATCTCAGAGTTGATGTTCACTCTGGGATTTGAACTCAGTACCGTACGTTTTAAAAGCCATCAAGTTATCCACTCAGCTACTGAGTACTGATAGCTACCTGCTTGTGCAATGGAGTGAATTTTAATTCATTTTTGCATTGGTTGTTTCAATCTTCACATTGATGTTTAGGATTGCAATTTATCAGCCTTTTATTGGATAGCGTTTAAAACGAGCGGTACTG